AAAGAAATAAAATTAATCCCATGCCAATGAAATCATGAAAATCAAATTTATTATGACACCATGTCAACCAAAATAGCTTTTACCAAATCATGCCAAAAAAGTAGAATAATTCAAAATCGACAAAATATCAAATTATATATATACAAAATCATGATTCTTATCAAGGCAAATGAATAGGCCTAATTGATCATTAACAATTTGATTCTCATCTAACAGACATGAAATCATAAAATTTATGATTTTCCATCAAATTCAGTCGATGAAATCATGAGAACCAATAATGATGTTTACCAAATTAAGTCAATCAAAAAAAGAGAATAATACAATTTCACAAAGTCATGACAACCACCAAATCATAAAAATCAAAATTATTATGTTTTGACAAATTAATGCCAAAAATTAAAACAATTAAATAAAATTGTGATCATAAGTTATGTCAACCAAATCATGTGACTTGTGATTCTTTTCATGGCAAATAACTCATAAAAATCACGAAATAATTGACTGATATGAAATTATTCCAACCAAAGCATAAGATTTATGATTTTTAATTATACCGACAGAATCATGAAATGGACCAATCGAAAAGTGAGAATAGCAGTAATTATAAAATTATGGCGACAAAATCATTGAAAATCATCAATCTGACGCGATTCCCGTCAATCAAATCACTAAATTCAGTGCTATTAAACGATGCAACCAAATCACGAGAGCCATGAATCACATAAAACTTCTGAACAGGTCTGTCGAACAGATCAAGGGAGTATCAATATATACAGTATAAAACAACAAATAAAGTAACAAAGCACTGACTGAGTCAAACGCATGGTTTAGTTTCGATTTGCCGGGAATGAAAGAAACACTCACCATCTCTGCTAGTGCCCATGAGCTGGTCCAGCATGGCTCTCATCTGCGCCTGGGCCGACATCTTCACCTGTTTACCTCTCCGCACCTGTGAATATACCTGCTTGGTGCGTTAAACCCAGTGATCGGAGCTGTTCAACTAGCTCCTCATAGAGCAGGCCTCAAGCCCAGCGGCCGCCGAAAACAACACAAACCGCCTCCTGTAACTCACTAACACGCTCTCTACTAACACCGCGCACACTTCTGACTTTGAGATGCTCCAGAAAGCGCAGTTTATAGTTGAAATGCCGCTGAAATCAGTCAATCATGAATCAGGGAGCTAGTGTCGTGCGTTAGCAGCAGCGGCTAACTCTTCCTCAATCCACCATAAGTGCGCTTATTTATCAGTCTTCGCGCTGCTTTATCAATCCGCAGTTCAGTATTTTGTGTGGTGGTCCATATTCGCAAAGTTTTGACAGTGTTTATTTGTTGTTGCTTTATTGTTTTATTTGTTTTTTCCCCCTCTTGGAATGAGACTTCCGACCCGCTCGCGCTGCTCCCGCTTGGTTACGCGGCCTCGAGGAAGTGCTGCAGAGCTCGAGCGCTGATTGGCTGAAGGGCGGGAGACGTCATTACGTCGGGTCGTCACGAGGTCATCAGAGTATATGGCACAACGTGGTGAGTTTTGTCTGCAAAACTCACGTTCAACACGTTAACCTTGTGATTTGTTTAAAATACGTAACTCATAAAAACAAAAATGTGAATCTTTAACTGGAATGTCCCAAACGTTTTTCAGGGTTTTTTTCATTGGCATAGTGCTGAATAGATACAAATTGTAGTCCATTACCGATTCCACTCACGTTCAACACGTTAACCTTGTGATTTGTTTAAAATACGTAACTCATAAAAACAAAAATGTGAATCTTTAACTGGAATGTCCCAAACGTTTTTCAGTTTTTTTTTTCATTGGCATAGTGCTGAATAGATACAAATTGTAGTCCATTACCGATTCAAAATTACATGACAAAAATTGTAGTTACTAACGTAATCCATTACATTGCTACACATTTTAAGTAATATAATCTGACTACTTTTTGATTGCATTACTTTTAACCTAAGTCGTTTATAACATTGATTTAAATAAAATAATATTGTACAATATCGATATAAAAATACCATATCGATAAAAAATTAAAATAAAAAAAGAGAAAGAAAATTAATTCCATTCGTTGCTATTAAAGATGAAAAAGGAATAAAAATAGGGAGATTCAATAAATTATGAATGATTTATTTCTGTTGTGTGAATATTATGTAATTATGTAATCAGTAAAAAAAGTCACTGTAGTCTGATTACGATTATTTTAAAATCTAATATAATCTAATTACAAGTACTTAATCTGATTATGTAATCCAGATTACATGTTACTAGCCAGCACTGTATACACACACATACAGCTGTGGGTAAAAGTTTACATACACCTTGAAGAATCTGCCAAATGTTATTTATTAGATTTTGTTTTTTTTAAATAATAAATGTTATTTATTATTAAAATTATTTTATTTAGCCCTGTCCTGAATACGATATTTTATGTAAAAGATGTTTACATATAGTCCACAACACAAAATAATAGCTGAATTTGAAAACGACCCCTTTCAAAATGTACATATGCTTGATTCGTAATACTGTGTTTAACTGCCCACTGTTCCTCAGAAAAATCCTTCAGGTCTTTGGTTTTCCAGCATCTTTTTTATATTTGAACCTTTTCCAGCAGTGACTGTATGACTTTGAGATCCAGCTTCACACTGACGACAACTGATGGACTCATACACGATTACAAAAGGTTAAAACATTCACGGATGCTGCAGAAGGAACTTGATGCATTAAGAGCTGGGCAGTGAAAACATTTTGAATTTGAAGATGTAAATTATATTTATTTTGGCCCACAAAGACATAATAAGTACAAGTATGAAGGGCAGTACTAAATGAAAAGTATGATATTTAAACAAAATAATCATCCGGTTCAAAAGTTTTCACTCCCCAGCTTTTGTATCTGACAACGGAAACTTGTGGTTTTAACTGTTAACTTTAGGACTGAGGGGAACCGGAAAGTTCTGAACGATACATGTTTTAATAGTACAATCAAATTTGAAAAGAGAAAGGACTATTTGATTACTCATGAGATGACTGCTTTGATATTGGGTCTCCTTGTTAGCATCTCACTGGTCAATAATTACACAAGAAACGACCACAAACACAACAGTATTGGTTCTCTCTGTTTATTGTTCTGATGTGTAACAGACATCTCTTAATTTATGTACGTTGTATATTATATTCATATGTATAAAAAAACATCCAGTGTGATAGTTTTTTCTCCAACTACTTCCACAGAATACAAAATCAAACCCAGCTGTGATGATCAATTAGAAGAACGAGAACAAACAGAAACACAAAGAGGTCCTCTCAGACGGACATCCGTCCACCGTCACGCTTCCCACTGATCACAGTCACCAAAGACACAGTCACATTGTCGTTTTGGCACCAGAGTTTCCTCTCATCTCACTAAAGCACATGGAAAACATACGAGCTCATTTATTAGCCCGACTCTGCACATGCAACTCACCGTCCTGTGTTTAGATCGTCTGGTGAAGAAGAAAACATCCCAACTATCTGATCTTTAGATTACACGGACATCCGTCCACCGTCACGCTTCCCACTGATCACAGTCACCAAAGACACAGTCACATTGTCGTTTTGGCACCAGAGTTTCCTCTCATCTCACTAAAGCACATGGAAAACATACGAGCTCATTTATTAGCCCGACTCTGCACATGCAACTCACCGTCCTGTGTTTAGATCGTCTGGTGAAGATCTTTAGATTACTATCTGATCTTTAGATTACATTTCTGAATAATACAGAGAGATGATTCGATTACAGCTTTGGCATACCGGCTAACTGCTTGATTCACAGTTTCTACAAGAGCCAGGCCGTGCATGTCAAGCGCTCCAAAGCTTTGAGTCTTTAAATGATTTAAACCGGAGGAATTTCATTGCTTATACTGTAGATTTAGCCTCTGGTTGTCGAGTGGCGTGCCCCGTCTATAGAGGGCCTCTCAAACAGCAGTTTCATCACCAATACTCACAATTCATGGATATACAATGTATAGATATACATAAAACAAATCATCAGCTCACACAGTTTAAGTAAAAATAAAAATGAAAAATCGATGTGATGTGAAAACTAAACTTTGTACCTTCAGAACACTACAAATCCACACGGATGACCTCGAGTTATGCTACATTTGTCTTTATAATGAATCCTTCCATATTTCCCATTCATAGTCTTCAAATAATCAACGATAATAAATTGGCAAAAAAATAAAACCGATTTTGTTTTGAGCTGTATTATGTGAGAATTTGGATTAAAAAAAATTATACAAACATTTACAGCTGCTACAGCAGTATCGATGCTACATTTTTCGATTTAAACAGATGAAACTGTAAAAATAAATGTGCATTCAATGCCTTGTGATCCAAAGTTATCTAAATAGACCATAAGGCACGTTCACACCAAGAACAATAACTATGAAGATAACTATATTAGCTATATTAGGATATCGTCCGTTTATTCAAAGCGCATACTCGTCTGCCGCTTTAAATTCGCAGGATTGATTCTGATTGGCTGTCAATGTTTTTATCGTTCATCAGCTGGAGAAAAATTGTTCTGAAAGTGATTCCAATGATATCGTTTCTCTGTGCCTTTATCGTTATAGTTGTGGTGTGGACTCTGCTATTCTTTAATATTGAGAACGATTTTCTCATGATATTGAGAACTATATCTTTATAGTTATCGTTCTTAAGGCCCGTTCACACCAAGGACGATAACTATAAAGATAACGATAAAGATATAGTTCTAAAAATCGTTCTCAATATTAAAGAATAGCAGAGTCCACACCACAACGATAACGATACAGAGGAACGATATCGTTGTGATCACTTTCAAAACGATATTTTTTCCCAGCTGATGAACGATAAAACACTGACAACCAATCAGAATCTATCCTGCTGTAACGAGCTCAAGAATTTAAAGCGGCAGACACGCGTGCGCTTAGAATAAACAGACGATATTGTTCGCTGGTGTGGACGCTGATATCGTTATCTTTATAGTTATCGTTCTTGGTGTGAACGGGGCTTTAGTGTGAACAGGCCTTTAATCAGGATAGATGCCATTTTGAATTTAACGTGGATTAAAAACGAGGCTGTACTGTCGTGGCACACACGGTATAAAGGTCGTAATTTTTCGTCAACTCTCAGCCTTCAAGGCTGTTTTATGCAGTTTTTGTCTTCTGAGAGTTTTATTCATAAAGACGTTTCATTAGCTATGCTTTCAAACAACAGTTCAATCCATTGAACGCGCTGTAATTCTGTCCAGCCTCGTTTTCATTTCTGTCAGAAATTAAATATGACGTTACCCTGACTAAGGTTTATTAATGTGACACTGATTCTCCGACCGTGAAAAACTGGACTATGATAAAAATCATACATTGTTATTTGAAATGATTTCAGAAAGCCGTTGCGACACCGTTCTCTGAGAGGTGGGCGTGGCTCCGTCTCATTCAGCCAATCGGACATCAGTGGGCGGGGTGTTTTTGCTGGTCTCGTAAGGCAGTGAGGATCTCGCGCCTCGTTACATTCGGTATCACGGAGCGCAAACCCGGACCAACTCGCGGTGCTGATCCCCGATCAGACGCGCAGCCGAAGATCCGCCCAAACCCAGGCTCGACTGCGATCGTGTGTGATCGTGTGAATAAATACAATACAGAACTACGATAAAAAACAGAGTGGAAGTACTAGAGGAGTCTGGGATCTCTTCTGAGGTATTGTCTAACATCTAGCTCCATAGCACCATTTTTCCACACCTTGATCAAATACATCTGCCTAAATTATCACAGGTTTAACTCCAGCATCTGTGGTTGTACGTGAAAATAATTTGGATTCGTACCTCATTTTGCCGGTCCGTAGAGCTCGAGATAAACCTGAAACCTTGACGTTCAAATCACTGACCGGTAATTGTTCGTTTTAGGTAGACTGACTATTCTGGTCTAAATTACTTTGTTCTAACATACTGTATTTACTCAAATAAGGCTAAAGATCATCTGCATATGAATGCTCATACTCTCTATTTGTTTTATTTGCTCGATTGCAGGCTTCAAATCTCTCTTAATGTTAATATAACATTTTGATTTTGTTACATGAGACAGTTTATTCAGCTGGCACGGCCTGTACAAGGACTGGCACTCAGATCGGCATAAATCGTGTATATGTAGATTAAAGAACAGCCCTTATCTAAAATGGGCTTATATTAACATAAATCTATTATTATAGTTAATAAACAGTCGGACCTGTAAGGGAAAGTCTCATGAAAACACTTCACCTCAAAACCAAAAGAAATGGCATTACATTTTCCATTAAGTTTTGCAAAAACATTTTAGGATCATAAAGATGACACTTAAATACATTTCCCACCAAAATTCTCAAAATTAATGTAATGCAAAAAAAGGAAAAAAAAAAAAAAAGACACTACCGTTTTGGAGGTGAAGTTTTTTTAAATTTTTTTTTTACCGTTTTTGGAATGTT